CAGCTGGGCATGCTCGTGGTGAAGATCGGCGGCCCCGCCTACCGGATCGGCATGGGCGGCGGCGCCGCCAGCAGGTGCGCGCCGCGAGACACTGCCTGCCGCCGCCCGCCCCAAGTTTGCGCTCAGTGCAGTTTTCGCCTCGCAGTCTTTGCCTTGCCAATGCTCAACCCTGCACAGCCCCTTAAATGCTACTGGCAACATCCCTGCGCATTATATACACACCCCACACGCACACACATCACGCACACCGCGTACATCGTGCACGCAATGATCTCAGCATTCACCGCCACCCCCACCCCCTCTCCCCCAGCGTCCCGAGCGGCTCCAACAGCGCCGACCTGGACTTCAACGCGGTGCAGCGCGGCGACGCCGAGATGAGCAACAAGCTCTGGCGCGTCGTGCGCAGCTGCGTGGAGCTCGGCGGCGGGAACCCGCTGGTGCAGATCCACGACCAGGGGGCCGGCGGCAACTGCAACGTGGTCAAGGAGATCATCTACCCCCTGGGGGCGGAGATTGACGTCCGGGCGGTCAAGGTGGGGCGCCGCCCTCGGCTCACGGCTGGGGTCGAGAATGGAAGGCGTGGGGCGGGATATGTCTTGGCAGGAGCAGGTTGAGATCGCTTATGGGGGGACGGGGCGCCTTTGGGGGGCTGGCGGGGCACGACGGGGCGCGGCTTGATGGCGGGGGTGTCACGACCCCTGTTCCATGTACCGGGGCGGGGCGCAGTCTTTTGTCTGAAAAAAAACAGCCGGGTTGGGCTTGAGCTTGCGTGCTGGCAGCTCGTCTACGCAAGGGCGGGGCGGTTGTTGGCGGCAAGCTCAGCTTACCAACCGCCTGGCACTGGCGCAGCACTCTGCACAACGCCCGCCGCACGCCGGCGTCTAGCCGGCGTCTAGCAATCTGTGGCCTCTCTGTGTCCGACTCGATACCCTGCAGCTAACCCATTGAGAGCGCCCCATTGCACATGCAAACGTGCCAGCTTGTTTGGCTCAACACAGCTGGCTCACCCCCCAGAGACCATTCTGTCCCTCTCTCTTGCCCGCGATGTCCACACGCTCACACGGCCAACCAACCCCCACCCCACTCCCCCACCCCAAGGTGGGGGATGAGACCATGTCAGTCCTGGAGATCTGGGGGGCGGAGTACCAGGAGAACGACTGCCTGCTCATACGCCCGGAGAGCAGGGGCCTGCTGGAGGCCATCTGCGAGAGGGAGAGGTGTCTCATGCAGGTGGGGCTCAGGGTTTAGGGATCGGGGTTTTGGGGGCGGGCCAGCTGCTTTTGTTGTTGGCGTTGGCGTCGACGTGTTCATGTGAGACGGTTTGGAGCATGTGCGTCGCGCACGCTGCTTTTTTGGGTGCGCGTGGGAGGTTAGTGTTGAGAGGCGTTTGCAGTAGGGATGGGCTTATGTGAAGTTTTAGGGGGTGCCCAGGTGTCATAACAAGGGCTGTGCTGCGGCGCTGCCTTTGCTGAGGTTGTCGCGCGCGCGGCCAGCGGCCACTGGTAGAACCGCTGGGCCGGCTGCCAGCACGCAGGCCATCCTCAGCGCGTGTCGTGTATGTTAGAACCACGCGCTGTATTTTGATGGCGCGTCAGTATGAGGTCGTTGCCACCCTGCATCCAGCACCCCCTGTTACAGAGCTTGGTTATTTTGTGTGCATGCTGCTCCCGACTCTCTGTGCGGCACCATCTTCAAGGGCGCATGAAGCGTGCACAAACTGACGTGCTTTGGACGCACCAAATCCCAGATCACGCATCCCGCAACGGGCCCCGTTGCCACACAAGGCGCGCGTGTATCCCGTGGTCTCCTTTTCTTGTCCTTGGTCATTCCCACTCTCTCTGCGGTGATGCTTTTCTCACCAATACATGTTAGACTACCGATTGCGCCTGCCCTCGTGGCGGCGCAAGTTGAGTTCAACCTTCCGAGCCTGAGCAGAGAGAGGGGCTTGTTTTGATTGTTGAAGTTCAAATCGAAATCCCGTTCAGCTTGTGTGCGGTGTTTTGGTCGCCCTATTTCCTGGGCGGGGCGGAAACCCTGGACAAATTCAGCTTGGAACCGGATACACGTTCGAATCCCCCCTCCCAGCTTGGACCCTGCTGTAGGCTTCTTCAACGCAGGGGCCCAGAACCCAAACCGTGCCCCGTGGCGTGGCTGGTGCCAGCCAAGCGTGGTTTTCGAACCCCGCGCGGCACAGCCTGTTGCACACACACGAGCTCAGGCATTTTTTCCGCGAGCCCTTGGATTGCCATCCCACACCCCTCCCATACACTCAACTTTTGTGGTATTGCCATCTTGTTTGCCTTCCGCACCCTGCACAAAATCTACCAATTTTTTTGGTTATGCACTCACAATTGCGTGAGGTGGCCCCCATTCCCCCGCAAGCCAAGGCAGCGGCTATGATGATCCAACACCCGACGCTAGCTTCGGCGCTGAGCGTTAAAAAAATTAGACTACAATTCTCTGAGCCGCTGCCGTCCGATCCCGCCACCACGACCGCTCCCACACGCCCACGCCTCCCCCGTTGCCCCCACGGCGTGCCGCATCGTAAGCACACGCACGCACCAGCGCCACAACCACCCCTCCCTGCCCCCCAACACATACACACACTCACACACGCCAGGTCATCGGCGCCATCGACGGCAGCGGGCGCATCACCCTGGTCGACAAGAACGCGCCCGAGGGCACGCCCCCGGCAGTGGACCTCGATCTTGACCAGGTGCGCACTCCGGGACCTGCTGCAGTCAAACTAGCTTGCACGACGCACGCTGGCCGCCAAGTGGTCCCCCCGGCTGATGCGGACGTGCGCGGAGCGCTGGCCGCGGAACGGGGCCTGGAGCTTGTGCATTTATTTGTCCGGCGCCACAGGCGTCGATGATCTGAAGCGTGGCCCTGGGGCTGCTATGCAGCTTCCTGGCGCTCGCAGGGGCCTAAGTTTTGATGGGGCTGCACACACCCCTCAACTCTTCCGCCCCTCTCGCGCCCTCACTGGCCCACGCCTCTCCACCCCCACCCCCCCCCCACCCAGGTCCTGGGCAAGATGCCCAACAAGACCTTCAACTTCAAGACGCGCAAGTCGGACCTCCGGCCCCTCGCGTTCCCGGATGGCACCACGGCCCAGGTGCGGCAGACGGCGTGCTTGTGACGGCCTATATCATCCCCACTGGTGACCCGCGGTATCTACGGACTGCGCTGCCTGCCCCTCTTGTGCCCAGCTGTACAGCCTGCCAACCCACTCTCACCTTGCGCCCCAAAGCGAGGTCCCCCAACCGCTCGCCGCCCCAACCGCTCTCTTAACGGCCGCAGTCCGCCCTGGAGCGCGTGTTGCGGCTGCCCAGCGTGGGCAGCAAGCGGTTCCTGACCACCAAGGTCGACCGCCACGTCACGGGTGGGTGTGTCATGATGACGTCTTGATTTCCCGGGAGCCGATGTGGGGGATCCAGCCTGTTGATGGACGGTGCTTGCCTTGTGGGGATTCATTGCGCAGGGTGTGAACACGCGAGATCAATTTACTCCATGTCATGACATGATTGTGCTTTTGCCTTACTATACATTGATGTGGTTATGAGCCAATGGCTGGCGTCCCAGGCTTCGCCGATGATGTTTGAAAATTCCATGCTAATTCTTAGGCACAAACCGGTGCAGATACCAACTTTCAAACACCAAGATCTGTTCTGAGGTTCAGAAGCCTGGATGACGGCTGCGGCTCTATTTCGTTTTTTTTTTGCCTTGCGTGCGCATGTGTGAGTGTCTTTGTGTGTTGTGTCATCGATTAGTGTCAGCAAGCACCCGCCTGCTTCTGAGTCGTCCCCACCCACCCCCCTCCAGGTCTCGTCGCGCAGCAGCAGTGCTGCGGCCCCCTGCAGCTGCCCGTGGCCGACGTCGCCGTCTTTGCGCAGACGCACACAGGGTGAGCCTCCACCCCGTCTGGACGCGCCTCACACTGGCGAAAAGCCCGCGCTGGCATCTGGGGCGCTTCCAGTGGTGGGGGTGGGGCCGTCACTTTGCTCACTTGACTGCTGTGGCAGACAGTGCAGCCACCCAAGTGACCCCCGGCGTGCCCATCAGAGCTCGCCCCCTGTACCCTCCACACACATGCACACACATTCTGATACAGGCGTCCACACTGACACACGGACGTCCTTGCTCTTGCCCTCGCCCCCCCCCCCCC